CAATTCTCCACGTTCTTCACCTTCTGCCACATCATGAGAGATAGCAACATCACTGGTAAACTCTAATCCCTCAAACTCATTCCTTTCTTTTGCAGCATTATTCATTAATTGTATAGGATCAATCTCCTCAATCATTTGTTGAGAAACTGGAGAAGTCATACTTCAAACAAAAGGGTTGGTGTAAAAAGAAAGTGTAAGGAACAAAAACTGGAACATAAAACAAAAAGAAACAAAAAGAGAGAGAAAAAAAAAGAAAAGATACCTTTTGACAAAGTGGAAGTCATCCCAAGTGCACAATCTTCCTCGTTGCCTCAATTGTAGCCCCAAGCACACAAAATGTTAGACCTCCTTATTGAATCGATTTGAAGACAATGGTGAAGAACTAGTCAAAAGAATCCCAAACAATTAACTCTTCCCTGCACCCCTTAAGCACCCATAATTAATCAAAATTCAAAATAAATCGAAGTAAAATAATAGTGAAATCTGAGAGGGGAAGAAAGAAATCAAGTGGGGAAGTCTGAGATATGAGAAATTATGGCTGTCAGTGCGGTGCGAAGAAGATGAAAAGGGGCTGGTTGAAAAAAAAAAAAAAAGGAAAACAAAGAATATAAGGACTTAATATAAAATGACATCATTTTATTAAGTGTGATCTCCTAATTTTTAGGAGGCACGGCTGGCCGGCAGTATTACCTTATCTATTTATATACAACTATATTTACAAAGAAGGAAAGTAATTACACATAACAGTCAATAGATTTAAGGCAGTAATCTAGCCCCAATTTCTACTGCTAGAATTAGGGATCTGATTGGAATCTCTATTACTCTCTTCCTTTGGTTTCCTTCTTCTTTCCTCAAGCAGATTCTCAATCTCGCCTTTCTTTTCCCAATGCAGAGTAACCGGTAGCTATCTTTCAAAAGGGTGCACGCAATCTTCTTCGTTCTTCTCCTTCTTCGGTTCCAAACCTTCGATTCTTATATTTTCAACTCCTTTCCATGTCAAGACCCTTGGTTTCGGTCAATTGGGAAACCACCATCTCAAACCCACCTTCCTGAACCATTCCCGTAGTCCAGCACCAACCACGCCGGCAAGTGAAGAGTAGAACAAGGGAGAGTACAACCAGATCCACTAATCGGCGACGGAGGTGATGCCCACGCGAAACTCTGACGACTTGGCAAAATTGCAATCTCCTTTCAACTGGAGCAGATTTGTAGATTTGTGTTAGTACAGACCACGAGCGAATGATAGGAGGCCAGAATTGATGCAAATTGAGGCCGAATTCCATTTCAGAGGTTCGGGTAAAGAAGGAAAAGATTGGAGATGCCCAAAAAGGCAAATTCTAAAGGCCTGGAGAGGTGAATTTTGGAATGGGGTTTTTAGGGTTTCTTTGTCTTGGGTATAAACAGGAGTTTTAAGGGTTAGAAAGAGGGGGGGTTCAAAAATCTAAAGAAGAGAAGTTTTGAAGAAGGGAGAGCGACGGTTAAAAGAAGGAATTGCTGAGCCTTTCAGAAGTGTGACTGAGTAGGATTCAAAGGAGCTCCATTTCTGGGTGTTCTTCCTTGATAGTATGCCTGTTGCTAGAAATGACATGAACCCTAAATCCAAATTTTGTTTTCGTTTGATGTTTGATCTATTTCTTTCATGTTTTGCTTGACAGTTTATGTTTTTGGGCCAGCTAGTTCCGGTTGAATTTAAAAAAAAAAAAAAAAAAAAAAAAACCTAAAACAGACAATCAAAAAGAGTAAAGTAAAGAAAAATATATAATATAAATAAAACGATTATTTAATTAGGATAATTAATTTAGTTTATGATTAATAAAGAAAATAGTGTATATCTGCTTTACCTTTAAAGATTAAGAGGAAAATCATTTCAAAATTACGTTGTTTCAATAAATTTTTATTGAAAAAGATTAAAATATCATATTTTTAAAATATAAATTAGAATGTTTTTTATTCTTCTCGGTAGTACTTTATTAAAATTACGTATTTTTTGAATAATTTTCTTCTTAATATTTAAGAGATAAAGCAGATAAGCATTAATTTTTTAATAAAATTAATTAATTTTAATTAAAATAAATTAATCATTTTTATTGATCTTAATTGAATTTAAGATAATTATGTTACTGTTGGGGTGTGCTAGTGATGTAGGATGATGAGTCAACAAGAAGAATGACGTAGAGGCTGACTTGGATGCCACTTGTAAAAGGGAATGAGGAGGGTTCTTTTGGCGACACCTGTCTCACATGCAAAAGGTTAGGTGCTATGGGCTATCTTGTTTTGTCCAACAATGATATCCTACAACGAATTCTCCAACAAAGTTAAAAAATATAAATATTCCAGCAAAGCCGGTAAAGCTGGGCAACAATGATGGAGACTCAAGGATCCAGGATGATTACACAACTATAAAAAATAATGGGGAGAAGACATGCATTGTTGAAGGGGTGGCAGAGATAGGCAATATGTGAGGTTCAAAGACTACAACTTAAGAATCACCTTCACACATACAACATCGTGACATAATAATAATGGCAGTAAATGTGACATCTATCATCTCTAATAAATATCTCTAATAAATATCTCTAATAAATATCTCCACTCTATAACAAACAACTCTCATGTTGAAGAAGAAGAGTGCAACGGTTCCCCCTTTGAAATTTCTTCAAGAACGAAAAAGGGTTAAACTTAGGAGTGGTGATGGGAGAAGGAAAGGTGACCGCCTGGGAGTTTGTGTGTGGAGTACTTGATCCCGTTTTTGATGCTACCTTTGTAGCTTGATCCTTTGATGCTGAAGAAAAACTACCCAAAAACTGAAACTGCAGCGTGGTGCTTCATAACCATGCTATTCTACAGGTCTGGAAAATATTCTGTAGTTTTGGAAGTGCAAAAAATATAGAGAGAAAATGGTGATTTCTGGGTGTTTTCAATGTGTGGGGTGATAGGTTGAGGATGAAGTTGATGGGAATCAAGATGACCCCATATGTATCACGTCAAGAGATCCATTACATATTCCAAGAGGTCCAGTTACGAGAGCTAGAGCTAAGAAGATGCGAGAAACTTTAAATGGTCTTATTGAGCAGATCTGGGTTGATAACAACATGCACAAGTAAATCAAAGCTTGGATGATTGTCAAGGCATGATAAACATTATTCAGGTTGAAGAGAAGCTTAATTGAGGTCATTTGTGCTAAATTACACAGTTTGCGTCAATCTCGCAATTCTGTCGCAATTTGTAACAAACTGATATTTCATGTTATTGTAGGTTACTTTTAGTGATTTTCATGTCTTTTTATATTATTTTGGGCTGAACATTCATTTATTTAAGGCCCAATTCGTGGTTATTAGGTTTAGGACTTAGGGTGTTAGTTTCCTATTCTGATTAGGATTTGTTTTCTCTATTTAAAAGGCTTGTAACCCTAATGGGGAGGAGGCGATTGAATCTGAGTTTTTGAGAGACTTTTCTCTTTGGTTCGTTTCAGAACTTTACAGAACTTATCAAGATTATTCTTGTGGCGTTCTAACCTGACTTATCATCCTCGTTCTTAATCGTTCGAGAGTGTGGCGTCAACCAACTTTATACCCCTGGATCTTGTTGCGTCATAGACAATGGGTCAAGGTTTTTACCTTTGGTTCTTGTTGCGACATAAACAATGGGTCAAGGTCCTATCATAAACCTGATTTAGCTTTCCTGGAGTTTAGAAATCCCTTGTCGTG